AAAGACAATGAATAACTAGAAGAAAAAAAAACCCTACCAGCAGCCCTAATGTTGCATCACTGTGTTTGAATTACAACCAGTCTCTAATTTTAAAAGATGTATATTTATTCTTTGGTTTTGTTTGCTGCCCTTCCTCTGCAGAACCACGCTTGATAGCAATGGCTCCTGAAAATTCCTTAGTGATAATGTGTGGTGTGTCTTCCTTTCTGTTTAACAATTTAAAATGTCATAATGCAAATATTTCCTCCATTTCTAAACCTTTAAAAAGTATTAAGTCAAACAAGATTGGCCAGTCAGCAGCATTTATTGGGAGGCTGGCACTGTAGGATGAGACTGAACTAGACTCTTTTCTGGGTTCACCAAAGAAGAAGGAAACGTCATTCCTGTTTCGGTGGAGCTTACCATCTCATGGGTATTCGACTCCCATGTATGAAAAAAATCTGAGTCATCAACGCTGCACAAATGAAAATATAGAATGTAAGTGCTGGTTAAATGAGATGCAATGGCTGAAATGCTATTTGAACTTGAATAAATCCTAGAAATTGAGTAAAAAGCCAGAACTTAAAAATCTATGAGTATAGGGTAGGAAAGAAGAAAGGGTATTGTAAAAGGAAATGACAAATACATGAGTATAACTTTATTAGTTACCTAGTCTATAATCCACACTATGAACTTGGCCTGTAGCCTCTCCTTTCTTAGTTATCGAGTGTATTCTGTACTTTCCCTTTAATGTATCACAGTCTATTTTGAATTCTAATGCTTCTGTACTTTCAATGGCAGGGTGGAGTCACTTCATAAACTCCTTCTGACTCTTCTCAGGTCTCTGCTGAAATTTCATTTTCACAGAGAGGCTTTTTCCAGTCACTTAATCTGATATAAGTGTGCCTTGATATTCTCCATTTTGGCATTTTTTCATAACTCTTACCACAAGTCATAATCATAAATTTATGAACCTATCATCCGACTTCCTTACTAGATTATTAACTACCTAGAGGCAGGGTGTTTGTATTTTTTTCATTACTGTATATAGATTGCTTAGCACAGTCCCTGACACTTAATATATATTTGTAGAAATGGAATGCAATACTGTATATTTCTGTGAAGTCCAGAACTCCATATACAAAACTGATTGCAATAACCCGAATAATTTTATTTTAAACATTTACCAAATTTAAGCTGTGCTAACTTCTGATACATAGAAGTATGTATCAACATACTATAAGTGTGTGCATATATAAATATATAGATACATAATTCATATACATGGTAATATTTGGACCTTTACCAATTCAATTTCAATTGTGTCAAATATTTCATCTTTTACAATAATCCTAAAATGTTCAAGAGAACCTTTAATCTATCTGAAGTAAGGAATATAATCCTGGCTAGGACTGGTATATGGGGGTGGGAGGGTCCTAGTTGCTCCTAACCCGTACAGGGTGCCTTGGCCCAAATCAGAAGGAGCCGCATTGCCTGGGCAGACACCATGCACCAGTCCAGTCTGCTTGGTGAGTGGAGCTCAGCAGGATGTCAGCTCCCATTGGCTGCCTCAGCCAGGTGCCCTTGTTCATGGCACCACCTGCATATAGGTGGCTGGCAGTCCTGGATGGGGCTGCTCAGTGCTGGTGCAAGCAGAACATGGAGATCTGGCCATCCTCGTGCAGCTTGCTTTTAAAAAAGACTGATTTAATTTGTCTGGATGAGTCTGGCCGGGTAGGGGTCCTTTCTTCTTCTCACCACTTCTGATGATTTAGCTGAAGAAGGCCATTCTTCATGTTCAAGTGTGCACAAGGCTGTGCAGCCTCCAAGTGGGCTTTCAAGGTTTAATCTTAGGAAATAACCAATGTTGATTCTTGATTCCTAGACAATGATGCTGTCAAGCTGACTATAGGTGAACTTTGCAATTTCCCTCTGCAAAATCAAGAATTAGAAGTTAGTTCATGTGTATACTGCTGCTTGGTGACTATATGGAAATTTTACCAGTGGCGCTGAGAATAAGCTCCTCTATCATCACTGACCCGATGTATTGACCGTCGTGACAGTCTCATTTCTGTAATCCTTTCCAAACTCTCTCTTGAAACTTAGGATCATGGGTTATAACAGCTTCATAATTTTTTTAAAACCAAAATTAATTTACCTTTAAGTGTCCTTAGTCTCTAAGTACAACCATAAGGAAGGCCCGTTTTGAAACTACTAAGATGGATTCATCCCTTAGAGCAGAGGTTCTCAACCTTCTGGCCCTTTAAATACAGTTCCTCATGTTGTGACCCAATCATAAATTATTTTCGTTGCTACTTCATAACTGTAATGTTGCTACTATTATGAATCGTAATGTAAATATCTGATAGGCAGGATGGTCTTAGGCGACCCCTGTGAAAGGGTTGTTCGACCGCCAAAGGGTTCGCGACCCACAGGTTGAGAACCACGGCCTTAGAGCAAGCGCTCAAACCACTGAAATATAATTTTAGAAAGATTTTTATTTTGAAAACAGAAAACCCGCTAAGGTGATATTTGGGTATAGAGCCTTGGATAGTGGAATGCAACCTAGATTAGGCCCCTGGGTCCTGGTTTTTAAACAACCTAATTAGATGTGATTGTGTGATTCAATCTTGATGGGATTCATCTCCAGAGCTATTTGTTACATAATAGTTTAAAGTCTTTATAACTTTATGCTTTATTTTATATTAGAAATCTGCAAATCAGGAAAAATGTCAGATAAAGCATCTGTGGATCAGAAGACACATTTGGGATCACATGTATACCGGAGTCCAACAGCTGTCCAACAGCCCCTGGGAGAAAGGGTCAGTTTGTTATAGGGGGCCCTAACTGAGCTCAGGACTGGACCAAATATTCCAACAGATTCTTTTCAGAGATTCCAATTGGTTACCGTGTGTGTGTGTGTGTGTGTGTGTGTGTGTGTGTGTGTGTGTAGGGGGGGTGGGGGAGGGGGCAGCTCCACTCCTAAATCTGGACCCAGGAAGTGAAAAGGGCAGAGAAGCCTTATCTAGCCCCAGCACCCACTTTAACTAACAGGAATTGGTTGCATCCGTTATCCATCTCCACCATCACCAACTTTCATGTTAGTTTGGTGAAATCTATGTCCCAGAAGTGAAGCAAATCCAAATATGGCGAACATTTCCTCCATTGCCAAAATGGGAAAACTGCCTTATCTCCTCTTCAAGATCCCTCTAGCAGAAAATCGTCTCCCCTCTTAAACACCCAAGCGGCAGGAAGCACACCTTTTGTGTGCCATGCCTATAATGCCAGCTTGCAGGGATCCTGAAAATGTCAAGCCACCCCTCTTGATAGCATACAGATCTTTTCAGAAACACTTTCTTCAGGCAGACTCTTAATTGGGGAAAGTTTCGCTTATTTAGGTTCACGGGACATATGGGGCGCCCCGCTTCTGGACATCCACGAACCTGCTAGCAATTCGTCCGTCAGAACTAAGCCTCGGTACTGACACCCCCGGGGAACTCTTCCCGGGATTTTTTTTTTTTTTTCATTGAAAATGAAGCTGATTCTCGGCCAGTTTCTTCGCCTCTCCTTCACCTGGGGCTGGGGAACCTGCGTGTCTGCGTTCCCGGGGATCGCCAGCGGGGCCTGGCAGAGTTCCAGGGCACAGGTGGGGCCCTCCCGGGGACGCCCCGAGCCAGCCCGCCCAGGGGCACCCCTCCCGCGGGCGGACCCCGCCGTGCACCCCACTCCACCCCACCTCGCGCGCGCGCTCGTGCCGTTTCGGGAGCGCGCGGGACCTTAGCGAGGATGGGCATCCGTCCCGGGACAGTCTTCAAACCCGTTCGGCCCGGCGGCTCGCAGCACCTGGGTTGCACCGCCTCTCAATCAGACCCCCAGGAAGATCTTTACGGACTCGAGCTTCACGTTGAAAATGACCCGGGGACAGGGGTGTCCATGCGAGCCAGGAGAGGAAAGGGGCCGGGGCTCCCTCCCACCACCTCCAGCTACTCAGCTCGTCCTCCTCCCGGGGCGAGGGGCGGGCCGGGCCGGGGCCCGGGTGGGGAGGCTCGGAAAGGGGCCCTCCCTTCTCACCTCCCGCGGCCCGCTCCTACTCACTTTCTCTCGGAGCCTCGGCTCGGCCGCCTTAGCCCGGGGTCGCGCAGCGGGGCCGCGGTCAGGAGAAAGGAGCCGGCGGGGACTCTCGGGGCCGCGACCGAGCCCCGGAGCGGAGGGTCGGGCCGGGCCGGGGACGCCCCCACCCGGAGCTCCGGCGGAGGCGGGGGCGCCGGGTTCCGCGCCCCGGAGGAGGCTGGCTCCGGGAGCTCCGCCGGGCCCCCACCTCCGCCCGCCGCCGCGGCCCGCCACCCGCCACCCCTCCCCGCGCATCCCCGAGGCCGCGGGGCCCGGGGGACGCGCTCGCGCCGGGGCCGCCCCCTCCCCTCCCCCAGCCCGGGCGGAGGCGCGCAAGCAGCGGTGACGTCAAGGGGCGCGCGGTGGCAGCACCTCCCCGCGCGCTAGTTAAAAAGAAGAAGAAAAGAGGGAACGAAACATGAGAGGCTGCGTGAGAAGCTGCAGCCGCCGGCAGAGGAGACCTCAGCATCATCTAGAGCGCAGCGCCGGCCCTGCCTTCGCCTGCCCCGCCGCCGCCGGTTCTGTCGCTGCTACTGTCTCACCTACACAACTCCCGTTACACGGACAAGTGAAGCTCTGTGGCCGGCTTCTCCTCCTCTTCTTCCAACTCCTTCTCCTCCTCCCACTGCCCCGCCGCGGCAGAGAGCCCCTAACCCCACTGACACTGGCACAGCTGTCCACGGTGTCATCCGCACCACGTTCTCTCGCTCCTCGGGCTCCCCCAAGGCACTGGACCCATCGCCTCGCCTTTCGTTTTTTTGCAAAGTTGCATCGCCCCCGCCACCTCCCTCGGCCTCGAGAGTGTCCCGCCGCCCCGCAGCCTCCTCCCGGAGCTGCGCCCTAGTGCCCCTGCTGGGCAGTGGCGTTCCCCCCATTCGCCCGCGCCCAGCCCCGGCCGCTCCGGGCAGACGATGCTGAAGATGCTCTCATTTAAGCTGCTGCTGCTGGCCGTGGCTCTGGGCTTCTTCGAAGGAGATGCTAAGTTTGGGGAAAGAGGCGAAGCGAGCGGAGTGCGGAGGAGAAGGTGCCTGAACGGGAACCCCCCGAAACGCCTGAAAAGGAGAGACAGGCGCATGATGTCCCAGCAGGAGCTGCTGAGCGGGGGAGAGATGCTGTGCGGTGGCTTCTACCCTCGGCTCTCCTGCTGCCTGAGGAGTGACAGCCCGGGGCCGGGGCGCCTGGATCACAAGGTAGGCACGCACCCGCCTCGCCGCTGGGAGGTTGGCATGCTGGCTGGGTGGGCTTCCCCGCGGCTCCGGCAGTGCCGGGGGCCGTAAGAAGGGCGGCGTTCGTCTGGGGAGTTCTTTCTGGTAACTTTTCGAAAGCGCCGGCGTGATCGCGTGGTGTGTGTTCCTCCCGGCTGCGCAGATACCTCGCCCGCCCCCCGGAGTCCGCGGTCGGGATGCTGTGCAAAACCGCCTGTCTCGGAAGAAAGGCGCTTCCGTGGTACCCTCCTTCGGGGGCTGGGTACATATTTTAAAAGAATCACGATTAACAGTGTGTTTTGGATCGAATAGGCATTGGCTGCGGCGAAACTGTAAATTAAGGTGGCTGTGGTTTCCGGTTTATTTTTCTGGAGTGAGGAGATGTGTGCAGCTCTCTCCACGTGCTCGGGGAGGGAGAGTGCTGCATCTCAAGGATGAGGAAGCATGGTTGGTTTAGGATCCCCAGCCCCGTCAGAGGGGGTTGTCTAACGTTACAGTCGTTAAATAGCGAAAAGGGAAGTCCTGGTACTCCCGCGGAGAACCCGAAAAACTGGCGAAAGATTTTGCTGGGGAGGAGTTGTCACATAAAACGGAGACGAGTCCCCATCCCTGGTTGTAATGTTTGGTCATATTATCAGTTCAGGCTTTCCCCTGGTATTTAGTTGCCCAGGACGATCTCCTCCAGAAACTTGTGTCAGGAGTAAGGCATTTCTATTTTCCTCGTGTTAATAAGTTTAAAGAAATAGGAAAATAGTGTTGGTTGACTGGAAACGCAGGCTTATGTTTGAGTTTGCAACATCTCTCGTGCCATGGGATGCAGTAATGTGTGCGGTCTACTGTACTCCGGAGAAAGCCTGGGGGACCACGTCATTAACAATCACTGCACGTGAAAAAAACAATCAGGTGTCTTTGCTCCCCCTCCCTTTCCCCATTTTAGGTTTAATTAAGAATTCCTCTGTTACAACACTGCAGTTGTCAAGGTCTGAGAGTCTCTTGGAAAACTTCTGCTTCAGTCTTGCTGGCCCAGGCATAATAAAAAAAAAAATAAATACCCAGGCTGAATCTAATTTTTATGCTCAGTTCACGGTAGATTTCACTCTATTCTCATGTAAACAGCTCCTACGAATCAACATATGTGTCTGGGTGGTATCTCTCACTTTGTTTTGTAACAAAAAGCCATATTGCATCATTTAATTTGCTCAAGTCATGCAAATAGGAAAAAATCAATAGGACAAAAAGGGGTCGACTTATCCTCCTCCCCACTAAACTGCTGCCCACACACAGAGTCCTGTTGCTTATGGCAAAAGAATAACAACAACACCATTGTGTTTGTTAGTTGGTTCACTAATGGGTGAAACTAGAGAACATCATTCTCTTTCAGTCCCCAGCTCTGTCCAAATGTTCATGCCTTTTGAGGGAGCATTTGTCCAACTCCCTCTATTCCCAGATGAGTGAGAACTGTCTTGCTGCAGGTTTTCAGCTGCATCTCGCTCTTTATTCTTACCATATGCAGCAGTGGTCTGAGATTCAGGAAACAGATATTCCAGCATTTTATTCAAAAACAATGTCCTTAAGCTCCTGTGTTGTACTTGAATTAAATGACAGAAGAGCTACATTCACATCATCTGCAGGGTTTTACCAGGATCTCAAAAGAAGCAGGAAATTTAAAGGAAGGTTTAGAAATATTTGCCATCAAGTCTCCCTGTGTACAGTGTATACTGTGAGTACACCCATGATCTGCAGACCCCTGCCATACTAAACATGAACATGAGGAATGAAAAGTTTGTTCTTAACTAAATGTAGTGGAGATTGGAGTTGGGGGAGGGGGGCGCTGATGGGAATGATAATCCCTAAGAGGAGTTATATAAAGCTTTTTTTTTTTTTTTTTTTTTAAGAAATCATTCTTTAGGAAGCAAATCTGCCACGTTAGCTAACCATATTCCTTCCCATTTTACGTGCTCCCAATCTCCAACAAACCCCTACGCGTTTGGGAAATGTGTGTGAATTAAATGTGGTACACTAGACTTTGCTGGTTTCATTACAAATGGTTTATAAACCAACAATACTCAAATTGTGCAACTCAGAGATTTGATATTGTTATGCCTATGCACTCTTGACCTATGTTAGCTCTCAAGTTTTAATAATTTTTAAAATATGTTATTTTATAATAAACATCACTGTTTCCCTTCTTTCCCTAACCTTTCCTGGTTTATAATATATGTTAGGGTCTTATTTCATAATATATGGACAGGAGAGATGATGGCTTTTTGAAAGGACCCTTTTTTATTTGTGGGGGAAAAAAATGTTTTCCCCAGAAAGATTTCTGCAACTTTTCAAGAAAATATAGGAGTAGCCTTTCCCTATGGGAAGAAACTTCATAGACAGATAGCAAACTAGGAGTATTGAGCATGCTCAGCTGTGCCAGTAAGTCCAGTTTCCAGTCTCACACATATTCTTTCATGTAATGAACTAGCATTAAGTTCAATTCTGTAGCCATGGCATTATGTTTTTTATTTAAATATAGTTTAATGTTTTGTACATTTTAATCATTTTGAGCATTGTAATGAGATGGCTAACTACTGTTATAAATAACTACTGCCAAAATTTAGGAAGTTATATTGTCTTAATATTTTTGCAGCTCTTAAATACAACATGCTAAAAGGATCTAATTCCCATTTGCCAAATCCAAACAGCTACCAACTGAAATACCCCCATTTTTAAAACTTAACTTGTAGCCACAGAAGCATAGAAGATCTCTCTACCTTGGGTGGTTTCACAGCCAAAGCTGTCAAGGAATGGGTGAAAAGTAATTGTTTTCAAGTGTGCCCTTTTACAATCATTTGTTTGCTCTGGCTCTTTCAGGGACAAAGCCTATTGTTGAACACATCCAACTAAACAAATAACTCATCCTGGGATCCCTTTAACAGCTGCCTTAGTACAATGATCTATTTACATATTAGCCTAAAATTGAAACTGAACTCTTTAATGACATAATCCAGCACTATAGTCCAGAGACCCATGTGTTCTACCCAACAGCTGAAGAACATTGTAGGCATATGATTTTTAGAAATAACTTTTTATGTACCAAGTGATCTTAAGGTGACATCTTAATATACTGTCATGTATTTTCTCCTTTTGTCCGCTCATCAAACCCATGTGGGGGCCTTTCTATGCTCTTTGTTTAGTTACTTGATAAATAAGGAGAAATACAGAAGGTCTCTGTCACCCATTTTACTACTTGTTGATAAGCTATAGTTGTAGGCCACACTTCACTGTGTATTCCAGGATTGATCTTACCTTTCTTCTATGGGTTTTACTTTCATGTGGCTCAAGATTAAAGGATGACCTGCCAGATGTTATAAATTAGTCAGCAACAGCCACAATCATTACTAGGCATGCTGTAATAATGTTTCCAAGTTTTACATGATTTCCAAAGTATATTTAGTTTAAACCACTATAATTTGATGGTTTCGTATATGGCTTTTAGAAATCGAAACAGGAAATTAGCTTAAATTTCTTCTTAAGATTGATGACATTGTCAGACATAAAGTTAAGGATCTGTATAGACACAGACACATAGGCTGACAAGAAAAAATTCCACACACACACACACACACACACACACACACACACACACAGCAGTACACATCTGTCTAAAACAGTGTTGCAGCTTGGGCTGAGTCAGTTTAATTGACTTCAGTAAGACTATTGGTTCATTGAAACCAAAGCCAGAATGATGGCTCTATCTATCTTCAAATGGGTATTTACACTGCAGACCTCACACAGAGCAAAATGTTACCATCCTGCTGGGCCGGAACAGCATGAAACTTTACAAAGAATAATATTATAGTTGATTTCAGATAATTTATTGAATCCTATTTCTGAAACTTTTGATGAGAGATCTTGTGGCCAGGACACATTCCAAAAATTATAAAAGACAAAATTCTTTAGGCACTAACTTCAAGCTCTTCCTGGACAGCAGCTGGGAGAGTATATGGGGATCATTTTGTTTCAGCTATAAAAAAATGGAAGCGTGCATATTCTCCATAAAACCAAAGGTAATTACATTGCAGTTTTTCCGCCAGCAAAGGAGGTGGTTTCAACATCCTGCAGTTGTTTTGTTCTTAGAGGACTGCTGTATGATAAACAAACAGAACAAAGTTGAACAGTATTAATATTGAATGGATCTGGTGAGGTCTGCCAGAGTATGGACAATAAAAGACATTTAAAACATTCTTGGAATGCAAATTCTAAGTGCCTGGTGTATGTTTCCTTTTAGAAAACTTTAACCATTTAAGCAATTGTCATTTAAATAAGTTGATAAAAATTAAAATGTACATGTAATTCTGATTAGAAGTGACTTCTGAATATAGTAGATAGTTACAACATATTGTAAATTTTTTTCTGAAACTGGGTAACTTCTATGGAATTTAAGTTGCTTTGCTCTTGAAGATCCAAATTTTGTGATCATCTAGAATATATTTATTCTAAAAAAATAGAAGCCATACGATGTACTCAAATTAGAACCTCAGTTTGTGAATGAACTATTTGCTTTAAACAATAATCTATATATTAAAATATTAACTCCAGTTCATAGTTCTAAAGAAGTGATTAGGTACAGATATAGTTACATAAACTGGGAAAATGTTGAAGATTCAATCCCATTAGGGTTTTTTTCAATATGAAAAATCAGTTATTGGTTTAGACAGCACATCTCAAATATTGTGCTGATACTGTTCCTCTATATTAATTAGCGGAACTCCTGAAATCAGTTTTTCAAAGTTAGTACTAAGGCACTGAGACCTAACCTCAGTGAATCAATGACACCCAAATTGGTCTTATTGACATAAAAGACATACTACTGTATAAATAAAGATAAAAGCATGCCTTTTCCCATCAAGACTTATTAAATACTATACAAAAGCACTTTTATTAGACTCTTGAGTTTATTCATGCATATAACATACCTGAGGAGCTGGTTAGAAAGTTTTTCCTGGCTAAGATATAATGAATAATAAAAATGGGTCTTAAACCCGTTTGATTCAGCTCCAGATATTATTTTTATAGAACATGAAAGGGAGAAATTTTTCCCCACTTTAGAAAAATTTCCCTATGCAATTTTAAATTGAAAATTAATTAGAATTAGAAAAATGTAATTCAAGTTAACATCTTTGAGAATATCAAATTAGGAATTTCAGGAGTGAATTTCAAGACACAAATAAACCATACATATATTTTTTAATTCTGCTTTACATATACAGGGTGTCCCCCAAAAATATATATACACACTCATTTCTGTAGATTCTCTTAAATTTTGAAAATGAACTGTATGTTAATAAACACTGACTTTATAATCATTCAAGGTGTATACGTTTTTTGGGAGACACCCTGTTAGTGGATAAAGGTATTTGGAATTTTAAAGTTAAGTATCAGTCACTATACACTTTGAAGCAGAGTAAAGTGATAAAGAGATAAAGGGTCTCACTATAATTGTCATTTAATTTTTTTACACCTGAAAGGCAGATAAACCACTTTGATTTGCAAGAGTAAGAAGCCTTTTGTCCATCCCCTCCCCTTGGCTCTCTCATTCCACACAAGAGAGGACCTGTATATCCTTATAAAGGCATTCTCTACCTTCACATGGCAGTTCTTTTCAGACAGCTGTATTGGCTAAGTCACACTTTTCTAGTTACCTGATTACAAAATAAAAAGCAACTAACCCTAACTTCGAACCACTAAAAAGGAGTTTATTTCTGATTTACGGCTTTCAGATATTTTCTGTGAACAACAACACCGAATGTGGGAAGTTACTGGAGGAAATCAAATGTGCGCTTTGCTCTCCATATTCTCAGAACCTGTTCCACTCACCTGAGAGGGAAGCCTTGGACAGAGACCTAGTCCTCCCCCTGCTCTGCAAAGACTATTGCAAAGAATTCTTTTACACTTGCCGAGGCCACATTCCAGGTAAAAACGCGCACATTACATCAACTGCTGAGTGTCCTTCCAAGACGCCTGTCCTTCAGTGCTTGCATCCAGGCGTGTAAAATGTATCTCATTGTTCAACAAACCTATTCTTTCCTCATAACTAACCTTTTCAAGTTTGAAAACTTTTATTGCTGCTAAATGGGATTACTGTCATTTCGGTCCACAAGTAGTACGCTGGTTTGGTTGAAATGTTCTGCTTTTTGTTGTTGTGAAATCGGTAATACAGTCGGTGATCTTTACACGTGTTAGATTATCAGTACAAATTTCTTACTGGTTTCCCCTTTACCCATCTACATCAATATCAAGGCAGCCTCCCCCTCTACACAGTGGACACGTAAATGCAGATTGTCCACTGACTTTTAAGGTATTCCCTTAAATAAGATACAATTCAAAATCCAAAAAAAAAAAAAAAAGTAAAGCCTTACAAAGCACTTTGACATATGATGACTAATTTGCGCTTCAAAAACCCTGGGAGATAGGTAGGAATTGTCCACTTGATTGATAGGACACCTGAGGCTCTGGAGGCGTGAAATGCCTCCCCGCAAGTTGTGCAGTGAGAAAGTGAGAGGGTGCACAGAAAAGTTCTCATGCTGACAGCCATCCAAGTCTACCTGGTCACTATCATGTTTTGGACCCTAATAAGCATATACATTCTTGGGCATTGATTAATTTTACCATCAAATGTTTGTAAACTTTGGTTGTTGGTTTAGTTGGAAGAATCAACATAGAGGTAGAAAAGAATTTAAGGAGGCAGCTTCAGTTTAGTTAGGCAAAGTCACACACAAACAAATCAGGAGCTAAGAGTGTAGAAAACCCCATGGCACTGGAGGAAAAGGCAAGCTTTCAGAACTCTGGGATGCACTTAGATAACTTTTTTTTTCATTGCTATGCACATTTCACTTTTTTCTCTGACCCAAAAGTATAGATTTCCCTTTTTTTTGGCATTTTTTTTATAGAGCCCTCTTAATAACCTAAGAAAACATTTTGACTAGGGTTGCTTGCTTCCTTTGGTGTAGCATAACATGGATCTAAACCCATTCAATGTGAAAATATTATTATTGTCTTTATAAACTACAGTCATGTTTCGAAGGCTTTTTTTAAGCCAGCTGTTTCTCCCTCTTTATCACATTCCCCAAAGCAAAGTAGAATAGGTCACAGTTGCCTCGATGGCCTGTTGAGAAGCGATAACAGATTAGGTCCCATAAAGGCCTGCTGCAAATCTCAAGTCTTGAAGGTTCGCCTTGACCACCATAAGCTGAGTGTGATATGAACACTTAGCATTTTCATCTACCTCCATCTACTTGAGTTCAAGACAACCAGGCTGTATTTGGGAACTCATCTATGGGGGGTCTTCCTGGCATCTGAAGTTATTTTAGCTTCCAAAACAAACAACAGAAAGCGATACCCACTGTCAGAGGGAGCACAGCAAACAGCTCAGGAGCCAGAGCGGCAAGCACCTCACTCCCCAGATCAACATATGTGGTGACGAATGACAAATTTATTTTTCTACCGAGTTTGTATATATGTAAAACTGCTGAAGTGCATCAAGATGTCAAGTGCTTTTGGTGGCCACCCAGGCTGCCTTGAAAGATAACCAGATGAAAGCTCCACTCCAGTGGTGGACGGAGCAGCCAGGGCGCTTCCCAGGGACAGGTTAACAGGCTGCAGCCACTCGCAGAGGGGGCCTTCCTCTGGACCCATCAAATGCAAATAATCGCTCTAAATACGGGTCCCCAAAGTAAGCTGTAATCACACTATTTGTGTTCCTTATGTTGACCAGTTTGTTAGCCAGACTGATCCTTGGCACACAGGTTACCATTTCCTAAAGTATGATGAATAGGATGATGATCCTGCCTTCCGCCCTTCCCCCAAACCCAGAAGACTCTAGAATTCTAGAACCCTGATTTTTCAGAAGTTGCTTAAAAAGCAAGTTTGTAATATTTTTGCCTTAAGTCTATTTAGTGACATGGTTTACTTTTCTCTGAAGTTCAAAATGGTAAAAACAAAACAAACAAAAAAAACAGCTACTTTGTGATTTTTTTTTAATAAGAAACTAGTTAACATGTTTGGACTATGCTTTTTAATACCTCATCTTTCTGCAAATCAAAAACATGAAGAGGAAGGTGCCCTAAGGTATGTATTTTGCTAAAGCAAATGCTGAAAGGGGGTGAAAATAATTCCAGAGACACCTTCATTTCTTCCTCCCTTGCCCAATATATAAAATAATAAATATGTAAATGACCCGTCCCTTTGCTTCACCTTCATGGTTTTAAGAACACACCGGTCACTTTGCAATACACTGACACCCGAAAGATAGCTACTTTCTAGAAACTGTAATGCAGAAATATTCATGGCCTGCTTATTCCCTGCCCTCCGCATCCCATGAGAAAAGAATTTAAGTTAAAAGTCACAAAAGTGAGGATACACTAGAGTTTTCTTAATCATAATATTAGCTAGTTGTGAATTTACTTTGGGAGGTAATTTCTTAAAACTTCTAAAAAGTACCAAAATTACAAAAAACAAAACAAAACAAAAACCCATCACACGAGCTCCTTTCTGAACACCACAGGTCTTCTCCTCTGCCTGAATTATGACTGACAGAGTGGGTACTTTGCTGTTCACTAGGTGATGGCACCCCACACTCGACAGCCTTGTTTCTTCCATTCATCCATTCATTGCTATCAAGATGATGTTTATCACTCTAAGACGTCATCTGTAGGTTACTGCAGTGTGAAATGTCTGTACACAATTAGTTCAATTGGTTTAATCCTGTTGCTAATGAGGCCAAGGTCAAGGATTTGATTCCACTGAGCTGCTTTAGTCCACAGCCACTCCCGACCACCCAGTCAGATACCTCACCCATGTGTCTTCTTAGTCCCCGAGACACAAACCAGAGCGAACAGATGGACACATCAAATCTACTACCTCTACTAGAAAAGTGCTCTGGAGTGCAAGCCTTATTGACAGTTGGGCATTTTTCTTTTTTCCATTTTTTCCTTATCATGACCAACACCACATGTAATGAGGAGAAATAGCTTTTCTCCAGCATACATGCTGAGTGAGAGAAAAGCTAGAGCTGAGACTTCTCTCCTGAGAATATTTATTCACATGCCAATGTTTTATAGGGCACTTCCTGGTGTCGTAGGACTGGGTTCATGATCCAGCAGAGAAAAGTGCCAGGCCCAAGATAGTTGGTAAGTGATCAGGAGTTTAAACAAAAAATATGGCTCCTGGAATAATCAGTGAATGTCCATTATTAATGGACTTGATCATATTATGATGATCCAAGGTGAGCTAAGCACTCTGAGTAAGATGTGCTTCTGTTTTCCAAAGAAGGGTACCATTTGGTGAATTACATCTTCCCTGGCAATAAATGTTAGCTCAGTGTCCTGAACGAGATCCCTTTCAGCTCCTCTCAGAAAAAGATATCTTATTCATCACTTTCCATTTACCTTAAACAATCCAAAGCAGATCATTTAAGGTAAAGTATTACAAAGAGTATTAGATATTTCAATTAAACTATCATAACTGTAAGAAACATGTCAATTTTTTATGTAAAAGTCTTCTGAGTAGGCTTCCTCCTTCACACGTAGATGACTCAGTGAGTCTAGAATTTGTAAAAAAAAAACTCAGAGTAATTCATTGTGAACCTTCTGTTTTTGTTTTGTCTTTAATTTGCTAAAGGAGTGTGGTACCCCCAGGAACCATGGAGTTTATGAATCGGCACCATTAATCTTCTGATGTCCCATTTGAAAATGATTTTTCATTTCCTCATTTGTCCCCAGCTAATAATTCCTTATAAAAATGGAATCAGCCACCAGCATTGTTCCTTCATTTCCCCTTAAGATGTTATTGGTTTGCAGACTGTAAGGCTGGAATGCAGACTTAAAAAAACAACAACAGCAAACAACCAAAATCAAAATTTCTTCTGAATTGTGCTTTGAAGTTTTTCTATGACCCAGAGGCAAACATCACATTAACACAAAATTTCTCCTTCATACATTCAGTTATAAATATGTCCATAGTCTGACAGTGTTCCTAAATGCATGGAGTTCTTCCTGCTTGATGGTCAATTTATATATAATAAACATATATTTTATATGTAGTGTAAATATATAGATATATTATACATAACATATATAATATAAATATATACTAGTATAGTATATGTAACATAAATATATAGATATATTACATATATATACATATATATATTTTTTGGAGATATATATATATATATATCTATACTAGTATATATCTCTGAAAATAAAAAGATCTAGCCCAAAACTGTTCAAAAAGTTTGATTTAGCAGCTCAGTGTTCCTTCTTTTTCCTCAGGCAGACTTGTTGAACAACCCTAGGCAGCTTTCCTCTGTCTGCTTAGCCATTAAAGACTGGAGGAGAAAAGTGACCTTTTGCAAACAGTGAATTGCTGCAGATGAATAAATGTTGCAGCGGTCATCCCTCTCTTCAATTTCTAATTCCTGATTTTTTATTAAACAAAGGTAACTTCTTCCAGCTGCCTTGCCCTCCCCCGAAAGGAGCACCCTTCCCAACTGCCCTGCCTCCTTTTCTGTCCACACCTCCCACCCACCCCCCACCCCCACACACATACACACATACACACATACATTCTCAAGGACATCTGCTCTTTCTTGCCTGGTGCCCAAAGATAAGATGTTTCTCAGTAACCTAATCAGATACTGGCCTTGAAGAATCTGCCTCAGAAGTTTAGGGGTGATACATTTTACCCAAAAGTTAGGTCAAAAATCTATATCAAGTTTTAACCATTTGGGACCCTCAGTTCCCAAGAGTAGTTTTAGGTTTGAAGGGACTTTGGTCAAGCTCACGGAAAAGAAATATATCTTACATAATCCATTGATAAGCCTCACTTGGTTGTCCCCAAATTCTTGTTCTTAGAAATCCATGCAAACTAGAATGTATTATACAACTTCTGAATGTCAACTAAATTACCACATGCCTTTATCACAGTATTGATGAGACATGATAATCTGATTTGTTAGGTAAAAATCAAAACATTAAACATAATAAAGGTATGAGACCAAAAGCAGGAATTTAGAACTTCATATATTTCATATAAAAAGTCAATTCTAGTAGCAACAAATTATTTTGATAGCAGAAATCATCAGAATATGGAACTGAATCATTAATTAATATGCCCTCCTCCCAAAAAACCAACACCTTATTAACTCAAATGTTAAAAGTAATGTCAAAATTATATTTGATCATAAAGTCCTCATCTTATTCAAATACTAGAGGCCCAGTGCACGAAATTTGTGCATTGGAGAGGTCCCTCAGCTGGCCTGCACCCTCTCGCAATCCGGGACCCCTCGGGGGATGTCTGACTGCCGGTGTAGGCCCTATCCCACCTAAACCGGCAATTGGACATCCCTTTTGTAATCCAGGACCACTGGCTCCTAACCACTCACTGGCCTGCCTGCCTGATCGCCCCTAACCCCTCACCTGCCTGCCTGATCACCCCTAACCACTCTGCATGACTGCCTGATGCCCCTAACTGCTCGCCTGCCTGCCTGATTGCCTCTAACCACTTCTGTCTCAGTCCCCAACCACCATGGCTTTGTCCAGAAGGATGTCTGGAATGATGTTTGGAAGGTCGTTCAGCTGTCTGGTCTAATTAGCATATTACGCTTTTATTATTATAGATAGCTGTTTATTTCATAAAAATTGTTACTATGTAAGCAAAATTATTTGTCTTTCAGATGCCTATATTGCATTTTTTGTTTTGGCTTATTATAATTATTTTTCAGTGAAGGGTGGTATGTCAGCTATTGTGCCTGAGAAAATTGAAAGGATATTTTAAATATAATTTTTGTTTTGCAAAATAGTCATTTTCTCCCGTGAGTGAAGGTAGGAAACGGCACCTACATATTTGAAAATGATGGCTTTGTTACAATATCAATTCATTGCTCAATCATTGCACAATGAGTCAGTCATTCATTACAGTGTATAATGACCTTGTGATAGCTACTAGATTTATTTTTTAATCATATGTGAGTGACAAATATAGTAAGAATTGTAAAATGGCCCAAACTGGCACCTGATAGTCTTTCTCTTTCTTGATTCTAATTTACTCTTCTTAGGAATTACTCTAGGGCAAAAAATGCTGAACAGTGATTGGATACGCTCACCAGTGCAACATGTGGTCACTGGAGAAGCTTGAAAATAAATCAATGCAATAACAAGAAATGTATAATGTGTATTTCATATGAGCCTTTTAAACTATCCAATATGACATAATTTCACTTTTACTGAACGTCTCAAGTTTTGGTTAAAAAATGAAAATCCCAAGCAAAAAAAGTTTTTCTTTCTTTTTTGTCTATATACTTTCCTAGACTATTCATATGGTTCCTAAAAAAATCTTTCCTCGTGTTTTTATCTTTCCAACAGGATGTTTTTACACGGTACTATTTCTGATGAGCCTTTTTACATTTTTTAAAGGTTTCCTTCAAACTACCGCTGAGGAGTTTTGCTTTTACTATGCAAAAAAAGACGGTGGGTTGTGCTTTCCAGATTTTCCAAGAAAACAAATCAGAGGACCAGCGTCTAACTACTTGGACCAGATGGAAGAATATGACAAAGTGGAGGAGATCAGCAGGTTCATAAAGATAATGCTCTGTAACCTTCTTTTAAAAGAAACTAACAAATCTTGTGGCTTTGAAAGTGGCTCATCTTTCTTTGCTTATGTCTGGCAGCTATAACCCTCCACGTGCTTTTTTTTTCTTTATAGCAGTTTGCTTCTCTGACGTCATATTAGTACAAATGCTTTTAATACTTAGATTACTAATCTTGTTATGAGCTTGGCTTCTCTATGATTCATGTGAATTTTATGAGTATAGTTTTAACTTGAAATGTATGCTTGCTGTTAGGTTATGATGCACATTATTATTAGCCAATCAGAGTTTTATAAATAGATCTTAGAACTTTCTCTCGAGCACCCTTCTATAATGTTTAATTATTGTGAGTAAAGCTCATTTTAATTATAGTCAGTGAAAGATGAGATAATGAGCTTATGAAGTTTTAAAATATATGTAGTTTTTGAAGCTAGGTGGTGTGTGAGTGGTAGTTCTTTAAAAAAATTTTTTTTTTAAATTTGTTCAATTAACCGTTTACACTCAATATTATTTTGTATTAGTTTCAGGTATACAGCATAGTGGTTAGACAATCACATATTTGACAAAGCGTTACCCTCAATATTTCCAATACACGTTTTGAAATTCTCTTTTACTTTCTGATAGGGGGCTGTTCAGTTTTATTTCTCCCCAATTGAAAAGAATTTCAAAGAATACGATTGTGCCCTTGGGTGAGCAGCCCTTCAGGATCATCCAAGCCATTGCTTCCTAGAGGAAATGTATTTTGAAAGGATGCTAAGTGCATCCCTTCCACCCTTCACCTTAAGCACCGCTTACCGGCTTCTCTCATTTGTCTAGAAAGCACAAGCACAACTGCTTCTGCGTTCAGGAGGTTGTGAGCGGGCTGCGCCAGCCGGTCAGCGCCCTCCACAGTGGGGACGGCTCCCACCGGCTCTTCATCCTGGAAAAGGAAGGCTACGTGAAGATACTCACCCCTGAAGGAGACATTTTCAAGGAGCCTTATTTGGACATTCACAAACTTGTTCAAAGTGGAATAAAGGTTGGCTTTTTAACTTTTATTTATCTTTGCTCTGGCTATGTTAATTCTATTTTAGTGTTATCCTTGCTACAGGTATTTCTTTATAATAAAAGAATGTTTAAGGAGAAAATAAGGAAACACCATAAAGGAACAATAACTATGACAACTGAACCGGCACAATGACAATTTTCCTAACTTTATTTTTATTGCTGACACTATTACAGTTGTCCTCACCTGCCTGCCCCTCCTCCCCCCTTTAATGATGTTTGGTGACTATTAAGCGGTGCAAACAGATTGGTACTTGGACCTGCTTTCCCTGTGTAATTTACACATTTCAAAATCATTCTTGGTTTTATAAAGTATTTGTTGAAATGTTACTTAATAGGCATAATACTTGCAATTGTAGATCTGTATATCAGCATTTGCTAATACAAACAAAGAGGTCTTTCGGTTATTTTGGCAACTGCAAGTCATTCTTTATCACATCTGTGTTTGAGCCTGTGTCATAAAAGATGCTACTTATACTGTGACTTCCTTGTATAATGTTTTTACAGGTAAGTGAAATATTTTTATCTATAACAAGCCATCTTTATAATATATTAGCACAGCTTTTGCCTTCTTTCCCACTTCTCCAATTTGAGTTAAGTAATCTAATAGGTATGTAAATAAAATTACCAAATTTGTTTCAGAAGAGAGTAATGCAGTATAGTATTAGCAGTATTAAGCTATAAAGCAAATTGTGGCATTCTAAAATTGAGACAATAGAACAGGGGTCCTCAAACTATGGCCCGCGGGCCACATGCGGCCCCCCAAAAACATTTATCTGGCCCGCTGGGTGTTTTTGCCGCCGCTGCCTGTCCTGCTTAGCAGCCGACTCATCCCGGGCCCGCAGTGCACATGTGTGGAATGTCTGAGGGACAGTGAACTGGCCCCCTGTTTAAAAAGTTTGAGGACCTCTGCAATAGAACAACTAATGACTATTTTAGAATGAAACAATTAACTGTATGTGATTGGGGAAGAGCTGTATATGACTTGAGAAGAACTAGTTATCTTTTTCAATTCTTAACTGGCAAAAACATTAAAGGAGGATTTATACTCTTCTCATACAGAAATAAATTCCTCCTTGCTCTAGTCACAGGTAAGAACATCAAAACAAGAGCAAACAAGTTGGAAAAAATATATTCCTCAGATCTATATATTTGGTACCTACCATGTGAAACAATTAGAATGACTTAATTAGAATATAGGAAATGCCACATTATTGGGACCACCCACCTCAGCCTCATGTGTGACAGCGTCACCAAGACATACTGCCCAAGAGAGGTGCCTTATGGTACTTCCAGTCCCTTAAGGAAAAGGACTTTGGCACCAAGACACAGATCATTTGGAAAATCTGTTTAGCCCAGTAGGTTCAATTGTCTCCCAATAAATTTTTTCTTTAAAATTCACTGCAAATAATCAAAAGTCTCTTAAAATGATGCATTAGAATTTTGCACATCAGAGTTCAATCAAAACATTCTGAAATGTGTTCTGATCAGTCACTGCCAGTGTCCCTAATGAGGAAAGAATGAAGATGCAGCCTCAAGTGCATCACCCAACAGCAGTGTATTTTTCCTACTGTGCAAGTTGAGCAGGCTCTCCAGAAAAGAGAAAATTGGGGAAAGCATGTAAAAAAAACCATTGCCTATCATCCCATTAATTAAAGAATACCACTAGTAACATCTTGATATACTTCCTTCCAGTTTTTTATATTAACATTGAATGAATTTTTCCTGAGTACAAAGCTAATACAGGTCCATATTAATAAATGCAGAAATTCACAAAAGAAGATGCTTTCTGATAGTTTTTATACTAAAAAGCTTTAAAATAAAATTTAAATCAAACCATATAAACAAACATCTTTTTAGCCTTCTTTCTTCACCTAACAATATATCATGAATATGTTACCAGATTTGAAAATTTTTCTCAATAAGTTCATTTCCTTTTTATGAGACATTTGGGATGACTCTAGTCTTTTCTTTTTTATCATGGTTACTTGTCATTCTTATGGATGACTTTCTTAGAATTCATAAAAGGAGCATTACTGAGTTGAAGGGCATCCACCTTATACATGCAACATTGTCAATTTGCTCTAAAATATAATGTTTTCAAATATTTTCAAGGTTAATGTATAGTTTTCTAATGTTATTTTAGTAAAAATGTTGGTGTTGAAAGGATACATATGAGCCCTAACTGGTTTGGCTCAGTGGATAGAACGTCAGCCTGTGGACCGAAGGGTCCCAGGTCCAGTCAAGGGTATATTCCTGGGTTGCCGGGTCAATCCAGTGGGGGTGTGCAGGAGACAGCCAATCAGTGATTTTCTCTCATCATTGATGTTTCTATTTCTCTCTCCCTCTCCACTCCTCTCTGAAATCAATAAAAATATTTTAAAAAAAGAAAGAAAAGATACATATGATAAAGTGTAAATAAAAGAAATGAGCTAAGAATACTTGAAATTTTTGTTGTAAGAAACAACAACAAACTGGTGTTCTTATTTCTACTTTAACTGTCTTCCTTTTATAGAGTTTCTTCAGAATCTCTCTTTTTAAATTTATGCCCATTCACTGGGATATTGAATGAAAGTTTATCTTCTCTGATATTGAGACATGATAAAACTGCACACATCAGGCTGCAGCAGTGCAATGGTTCTGCCCTATGCATGACTGGCAGGCCTCAGGGAATTCTTCAGAATGGCCCTCCTCTCCTAGGAGAGCTCCAGGCTTGAAATAAACTTCAAAATCCATTATCCTCTGTAGAATGAGTTCTTACATAATATGCCATGTTTTAAAGGGCAATATTTTAAATTCTATTCATCTTTGACACTTGTGACATCAATAAGATACCAATCTATCACATGGATATTTTAGTGTATACTGGATAGTGAGTGATGAGATCACGTCCTTATCACCTCAAGGAGGTTATACGACCACTGGCCTTTATCTTAGTCTCCCTGGAACTCCTGTCACACGTCACGGGTTGGAAGCATGAGAAGAGGCAACTACAGCTATGTTGGAGCAGGTGCCAGTGCATTCATGAGGTGATCCTACCACTGATTTTCATGGTATGTCCTTCAGAGACTTCTGAAGAGAAGATAGTTTCACAGCTATTTCACAGTAATGCTTCAGGCTTTCTTGATATATAAATAGTTAGTGTGCTCATGGCAATGTTCTGTTTGTTAATAATCATTTTGCATAAGTAATGCAAATAGGAATTTTCAGAAATTACTATGCATATCACTTCTTTACTATTCTTTCAATTTTAAAATCCCAAGAGAGAAAATAAAGCTGTTTTAACAGAGCACAGTATTGATGGCAATACTCAGATCACAGAATTAATAATGTATATACTGAGCCTGACCTTCATATGTTTGAAATGAAAACAAGACAAACCACAGTGGGATCCCCCATGATATTAATTAATGACCAGCATGAGTGCATTAAATCAGACTTGAAGCGGAATTCCTGATTATAAGGGTTTCTAAAGCTAGTGCTGGCTGTAAGGAAATCTGGAATTCCTTTCCTGCTAATTGTCCATTAAGAATTGATAGTGATTCCTGGCACATGAAAAAGGACTGATCTTTTTGTGGCAAGGAGCCTGACTTGGTTATCTCCTTATTCTAGCCCTGATGATAGCCAGCAAAGAGCCAGTCCTTCAGGGAACTCAGACAGCTCCTCCCTAAGCGGGTCCTATTTGAGGCTAAAAGTGATGTCTTATGTTAAACACCAGGCTGTGCTGCCTACATTGTGGGCGATTTCAGTACTTGGAAGTGTAACTGTCTAGTTGCCTGGAGCGAAAGTTCTGTGCAGAAATGCAGAGCATAAGTGAAAGAATTGGCTTCCTTTTGCTCTAGAAAATAAATTGTGGCTTTGGATTAATGGAATAAATTCTATGCCATATGAATTTAAACTGCCATTTCATTTAGGAAGAGATAACTTCATTCACAACAGCTCAACTCCTGGAACACTGCGGTTTGTGACATTGCCAAGTAAAGAGTGGATCAGAAATATGTTTTTAAAATATGCGGTGGTTAGACAGATCTTTGATGATAGTGCGTTGTACAAGCTAACCACCAGCAGGGACACGGTGAAGAATGGCTCAAGTGTCCAACTGGTGAGGAAACTTAAAGTTTTCATTGTGTGTGTGTGTGTGTGTGTGTGTGTGTGTGTGTGTGTGTGTGTGTGTGTAAGGGGGAGGCATATGCATTATTTGTTATTGTGTTATCCCCAAAGGAAAAATTCCAAGACATTGGTGATTTGAAATCTTTAAGTTGAGCTTATGTCTGAATCCTGAGTCAGGACGTGGGGCAGGTACCAGAACCAGCTTTATCCCAAGTCCTTGGGAAAGATAGACCAGTGTTTTCTCAAGGATGACTACACAGTTAAATTGCCTGGGAACTTTAAAAAATTCCATTGCCCACTATCTGGGGTTAAATATACTAGGCATCGGTATGTTTTTAAAGATTTTCCAGGTGATGTTGATATGTACCCAATTTGAAAACCCTGGGTCTAAGACTGAGCCAAACCCTGGCTCAGACACACATTGAATGAGATGCATTTTATCTGCCCAGCCTATGCCCAAACCCTAATACTGAAATGACCACTGGGATCTAATAGTTGGACACCACTTGTCATTTGTCCTGTAACGCTTGTCATTTACTTGGCCTCCACATACTACTAGTTCACTTTGATTGAAGAGATGAGCTAACTTTGGCAGCATGTAAGATTCTTGATATAAATTTTTGAAAACTGGTATTTAATTTAAAAATCTCAGCAATTCTAATTGGACGATGATTTTACTCATTCAATTTTTCCTGGTTTTGTTCCTTTTTGGAATCTGGTGTTTATCTAGTTGATAAAACTGTTATCATTCCTTAAATATGTAGTTTGCTAAAAATACCTGAAAACCCCTTGTAAAAAATGACAAGGACACCAGACATTTCTCTTGTGTGATTTCACCAAACTTCTCCTGACCACCAAGGATCT